ATATATATATATATATATATATATATATATATATATATATATATTGTTTCCTTTACATTTGTTACATTATAAGAGTAAAAATTGAGAAATCGATACATTTTGTAAGACAATTTAAGGAAGAGCTTAAAAGGTGGGAAGCTTGTTTTGAATCTTCTATATCTACAATCATTTAAAACAGGCTGGTGTTTCCTCTGGGCCTTAATGACTGACTTTTGCAAAAGTTTTTCTGGCACTAATCAGTTTTCAGTAGAAGTTCAATACGAAGGAGGGCAGAGAAAAGAGGAGAGACATGCAGTGAATGGCTGAAATTTGAAACTGGGACGACTGCATCAAGGAAAGTAGCTTCCATTAATGGTGCACCTGCTCTGAGCACCTGGCTGGCTTTTACTCTATAGAAGTTGGAAATCATGACTACTGACAATAACTCAGGGAAAAAAAAAAGAAAAAAAAGACTCCGACTCTGTTCATACATGAATTAACAGTTGATCTGATTCACCCCTTTGGATCTTTTGACAAAGGGAGCACAAAAATGTCAACATAGGTGAATAGATTATTATCGATATAGATCATCATTTTATTTTCATTAAAATATTTTGTGAGATTATTTAAAGTCTCAGATCTCCTACCTGGTTCAGGCGTCTCAGAGTGCGAGGATGATGACGCTGAGGACGCTCCGTCTTCACTGACCGCTCCCTGGGACAGAGACATGCCTCTGCCCGGAGGAAGCTTCATGCCCAGCTGCTCTGCCATCTCCACGTGGTCACCAGGGTGGACGTAGTCAAACACACTGCTTCCTGTTAGCTCCACCTGCAAAACAACAAATAATCCAGATGTTGCCATTTGTCCATCGAACGTTGCATTACATCTTTTTTCTTTTGTCTCTGGATCTGTCTCAGCTCATTTGTAGCCTACATCATTTTTCACTCAAAACTACTTTCATTCTATTCTGGTGGATTGTATCTCCTAAAATAAAAGGGAGATTTTTGTAATGAAGGCAAGAAGATTTTGTACATCCTTTTGTTGATTAAAATCTTGAAATGTCAAAAAACAAATAGCTTCTATTTGTGCAGGACTATTGGGCAATCAGCAGTTACTGATTTTAAGGCATGTTGAGAAAACATTTTGCCCAGATCTGATTTAGAGCTCAATTTTCTCAGTCATGCAGTACATCCAAAATAGACTTTGTTAAGGTTTGCGGTGGCTGGGTATGCTTCTCTAAAGCAGTCTAAATTAGACGTGTATTTCTATGAATCTGAAATGTTTTAAAAGGTACATTTTCTGCTTTTAGCTTCATTGTTAGTCATTTTTTGCTCGTCTCCTGCAGCTCCGAGTGCAAATGTTAAACATTTGCTTTTCAAAGACTGCATATATATGTAGCTATGTGATCTTTAGGAGAAGAAATGTGGTCAACATTTTATATTAAATATTAGAAAAGATATTAATATCTTGAAATTGTTTATTTTTCTTTTTTAACCTTATTAATTTTAGGTCTGTCCAGGGGACAATTTGAAATGTTCATTACTGCACAATGTATGGGAATAAATAAATAAATGAAACAAAATGAAAACAAAAATGAGTCCAGTTTTAGCCTTACAGTTGCTAACAGAGATGTGAGAACTGGCGTTATCTCCTCTCCCTCATCCCATTTATTCATCTCTTCCTTTCATCCTCATCTAATCTGTCCCTTTACAGAGATGGACAATCGGCTGCGTTTTGTCATTTTCATGAAAATTGAATACATAGTCGTCTTTTCACTATGAAAATTCAGAGTTCCTTCATGCTAAACTCTCTCATTAGTCATGATAGAAGCGGATTTGTCTTTTTTAATTGGGGATGAGGAGAGGGAGCATAAACAAAATGAAGTCTCATTCCATAATCAGCTTCCACACACAGGTGTGTATTCAACATAACAAACCTGCAACACACACACAAGAAGGTGCATGTTCTGGTCACAGTTATGTGGTGTAATATCCATGAACCTGCACACACACGGGAAAACATGGTTTCCAATAATATCCGCTGAGGTTTTATTGGAGGTGTGTTCTGTCATTTGTAGCATATAAAAAAGGTTGTACACATTTATTTCCATGTGTTAATCTGGTTATGTGTGTGTGTGTGTCTGTGCGTGTGTGTGTGTGTGTGTGTGTGTGCGCGCGTGTGTGTGTGCTTTTTGGGGTGTCCACTGGGACAAAGGGGATTATATGGATGTAATCCTTTTAATAAGAATTACCTTTAAGGCAATTTATTTCCCTCATAAAGTCTCATGTGAAACAGAAAGTAATGATTAAGAAATGACACTGATAGCTGAACCACATGAGCTCACACATACCAGAGTTACTATTTACATGTTACACTGCTAATTGGATCAGCATTGTGACAAGATGACTTTTGGCTAATCTACATAACCAGTGTTGCACATTTTACGTGTTTCAAAAGCACATAAACTGTGCTTTTCTTATCTAGGTAATAGATAACTCAGTTAAATAATGATCTATTTAATCGTGGGTATTGTAGTAAACCACTTCAGATTGGGCTAGGTCACCTCACTGCTGCACCACAATCCACAGAGCGCAAAGTCCGCCATGATGTGAGATCATACAGCCCATAGGAGCTTACCTGTAGGTAAGCTGTTACCAAGTTGTTACCATGGAAACAAATTCAAATCCTAAATGATTCATCTGTCATCTAAACAACAGTGTTGTGACCAAACTGGGCAGCAGTTAAACACTTGCGACATCAGCACAATAACTTGTCACTGTTTTTTTTTTTGTTGTTTTTTGTGGGGGGTGGGGGGTGGATTCAGAAAAGCGACACATTTGTCACACTGTGAGCCCTGCGTTTTTTTGTCATTTGTTTTAATTGCAATATATTTGCAAGGTTGGAGGAAAGGAATGTCGGTCAACATATCTGACAATTTTAAGCTTTTTGTCAGACAATATCAATTTGCGTCAGTAATGTATGACATGTTTTCACAAACGCTGTACTTAGCATAAAGCCTATGGAAGAGCTAAGCAGTCAACAAAACAGGCACAATAAATGACTCATTAATACCTTGAAAGAGTTATACAGTTATGGAACTGTAGCTTTTCTGTGATTTACTGTGCTTCCCCTTTAAGAAAACATGCAATTAAAAATTAACTTTACATTGGTGAAAATGATTGCTTTGGTGTTTCTGCCCAAATAGAGACTTGTGTTCACAGTGCCTCCTGCCTGTGTGTTACGTCTACAAGCTTCTAGCACTTCAGGTGCTATGACAGATCTATGTTCCATTTGAATGCACATACTTCAGATTAAACTAATAGATGCATGGTGGACCCTGAAATAAACTCTCCTGTCTTCAAGCCAAGTCTGGTCTAAACAAAAGGTTTGTTCCATTAACTCAGACAGACAGCTCCAGAAATGATGACAATCAACAATGGCAGCTCGTGTTCCCTGACTGCTTTCCTGTGGTTCCATCAAGTTCGTGTGTTTAATTGAAGTTCACTTGAGACTTTGATGGACAGATGCTCCTTTCGATCACCTGGAAGGATTTATTGAAAATGCCAGCCCTTTTCCCACATGATCTCCACAGAGAACATTCCAGGTGTTTCAGTGAAACAAACCATCTGGCACATCAGCTCACAACAGACAGTGGAAACTTCAGACAGCACTGGGAGGAGCAAAGTAACTTTCCTGTGATTAAATCCGTGCCAGACAATCGGTGACTAAAGAACAAGATGTTTTCATCTTTGTTTTTGCTGCTGACCCAGATCAGCTGCTTTCTCCAAAATACAGGTCAAAGCAGTGACCCTACATCTTGCCTACAAGAATATGACACATCAACATGTCTTCAGAAAAACTCTTAGCTTAATTTAATATTTTTCTTTTTTTTTTTAAAGGGGGAAAGAAAATACTTGGAAGTGCTAAACAAATGATAAAACAACAAATAGATTAAACTTGATTTTCTCAATCTTTAGTCAGAAATTGGGAAAAAGAAGAAAAAACAGAATAGTTTGGGGGATATCTAAGGTTCAGTAAGGGAGAGCTAGAAATGAAATGTTTGCCAAACATTGGTGTGCCTTCTTGCACCAGCAAAACCTCCACAGTCTCATTGATATATCAACCCTCTGTCCAGGATCAGCTGCAGCTGCTACTAGCTTGTCGCTATCTTGGCTGAAAACTGAATTCTTAGATTTGAGTGAGGGACAGCCTGCATCTGGGCACAGTGTGGACTTGAGCTGGTCCTTTGACAATCTAAAACTAGCTGGACCCCTGTTTCCAGCAGTCATTGGGCGAGGCACTCTGTTCAGGTCGCCAGTCCATCACAGGAGCAAACAGAGACAACGGACAGACCACCATGTATGCACACACTCACACATTAAGGCAGTAAAAAATAAACCTACATTCAAAAATTTGGACAGTGGAAGGAAGCTTGAGCATGTCAAAGAGAGCATACAAACTCCATTCCAGCTGCTTTGTTTTCAACCAACAGCAGCTACGTTTACCTGCTCGGCTCTTTACCTGAACATTTGAGCAACGTTTTCACTTTAAAAGTCGTGCTAACGTCAGAACTGCTTATGTGCCTGCATAGCTCTATGATTACAGGATCATCTGCAGCCTTAGCAGTGATGCTGTTCCTGGAAAATTCAGAAGTGTATGAATAAATGGCACGCCACATCAGCTGTTCATGCTCTGGGTTTCTCTTTGCTCAATCCAATAAAACCTTTTCACATTAAATATTGCCCATGAAATATTGAAGTTTAATATCCCTACTCTATCCGAGGTCCTTCAGCCCAAAAGTTTCAAAGTTTCGAGTTTCACATGCACACACCCACAAACACATGCCTGCAAAAAATAAATACACATATACATAGTCAAAATTCATTCTGATTCTTCACAATCTCAATAAAATAACAAATTCCTAATGACTTTCTTTAATAACAGTCACTGCCCAGTCCCCTGCCAAATCACATCAACCTGCTGCCTGGCAGATGGCAAAGAAAACATCAGCAATTTGACTGTGAAAGCTAAAATTCTGTCCTGAAACACAACAAGAAGAAAAAATGAAACACGTGAAAAGTGAAGCGAGAAATTCTCATTAATCACTCTCACTCTCTATCATAGTTTAATTAATGTAAAAACATTTTAAAGCTTAACACACGAACACAAACCCACATACCTCAAAACAGTGAAAAACCTCTGTGTGACTTTGCAAAGTACTAATCAAATAAATTGATGTTGGCTCGCAGGTTTCAGAATTAATTATAGCATTAAACATTAGCTAAGTGGGGTAATATTCCAAGTTTGATAGTGCATAATTACTCTGCTGTTAATGATTCATGGAACATCGTCCTTTAAAGCAAAGAAATGAGGAGAAACAACCGACAAAAGATGAACTGTGAAAAATCTTCACACAATAACTTTATGTCCTCAAATACTGAAGATCCCACAGACTTCAGGAAATGTGGAGTAATCTCATTCATCTTTTCAATTACACATCGGCTGCATTCATCACAAAAGGGGTAAAAATTTCACCAAAACAACAAAATTCTCATCTTACAAGAATGCAATAAACTTTAAAGGAGGGTTATTATGTATTTCCCAGGTACATAAAGCCATAATCCTAACCCTACCCTATGACGCAATCAAATAACTATGTGATCTTCTGTTGTTATACAAATTCTGAATATGTCAAACATGACTTAAAAGGAATTTGGCTTCACAATTTGACACCTTGTAATGGGTCTCTGTCTCTTTAAGAAGGTCCTGCTCTGTCACTCTGCCTTCAGCACATCATCACATCGATGCTTCTCATTATCCCGTTCATAAACATTCTTATGGTGTGTTGCTCTCAGAGGTAAGACTTGA